CGGGTACGTACCACTTCGACATCGCCCTGTCATGAGCGGGATTAAACAGATGCGGCAGACACGCATCTTGAGTGCGGCACACCACATCCATCCGCGGCACTTCGCCATCTTCGGCGGCACATTGCTGCCAAGCGGCAAGTGCGGCACACTATGTGCGGCACCTTCGCACGCAACGCGTATCACTGGCAGATCGGCCCGTAATCGGCATCTTCCGGCACCCTTTCGATCGAGGCAAAGTCCGCGCAAACACTTTGGGGGGAGGGTTTTGAGCATGTATTATGGAGTTATGGTGTAACTTGACAAAAGCTTCTGCGTAGTTGGATGATCCCGAAAAGAAATATGTATATCCTTAATTTTGACGGTGAATGTGACCAGAGGAAGTAAGTTCCTGCAGGTAACAAGCAAGTAACAACGCCGCTACTTCTAGCCATCGAAAATATGATATCCTTTTGGGATCAGCTACAGCTTCTCTGCTCTTAAACACATGTTCACCAATATTTTGCATGTCTCCCGAAGCCGGGAATGGCGCGAGAAGTCAGGGTGCGAGAACGTCGGCAGGGAATGGGTCGTCCTCCTGCCTCAAATATGACTCCGACGTTCATGTCAGCAGTCACCCTTGTGCCTTTCCAGAGATTATTGTCCAGTCAAGAATTAGCCCCGGATGAATATCACCTGCGCACCGTGATACGAATCGTATAATAATGATCCACGGGGTACAACTTGATTCCCCGCAACATCCTGGATGTCGAATCAGAGATCGTTTGACCCGATCACAAAGGCCATGGTTATCTTAGGGACAGGAAAAATGGAGGGAAGATCAGAGAGGTGCTCACTGCGCTCTGCCGTTATCTTGCTGGTAATTGGGATTTCCCCAATGCGAACCATCTAGGATATGGGATCCTGCCACACTGTAACGGATCTGAGGAGAGTTGGGCCGGGCTCAGATTGTTAGATGGTAGCGGCTGATGGTGTTTGAGCACGGACATGCCGAGCGGCGTAGTGGGCAAATACCGAGCTCCGAGACTCCATCAGGGCGCGTGGCAGCTGTCGACGACCGGGTTGGCAGCAAAATGTTTGGCAGAGTAGGCGGCTGGCGTTTAGACGCGCCCTCGACGCGTTGGCCGGGAGGGATGGGCTACAACGACGGATGGTGGTGGTAAGAGAGAGAGAGATTTGTTTGGGGCTTCCTCCCCCGACGCGGCCCACTTCACGGTGTCACTGTGCCGCATTCAAAATGATGTCGCACATTGCCGTATTGGGCACGGGCCGCATGTGATACAATGTGCGACACCTGTGCCGCACTTGACCAGAGTGTGTCGCAGATCAGATGTGCTACCCCGCCGCATCTGTTACATCCTCTCCCCCTCCGCTTCCTCCGCCGCCGCCGAAAACAGGTGCACTGAACCCGTTGAAGGCACGGGCCCGCAAATATTTTCAAGCACCGTCATTCCGTTGGAATATATCTGTAGGTTAGCCGAGTCCTATTCCTATTTGACGATAGTCTTAGCTTTGATTACTTCAAAATATAGTATGAATCGAGGATGACTCATTGTGGGTGGGCGAGGGCAAGAGGGTCTGCGTTAAGGCATTAGTAAGAGGCGAAGTACGGTTATTTATTCCCTGCGACGCACTTGAAGTTCAAGTACGACTATTATAAGTAAACAAATATGGGTCCGAGAAGAACCAGATGAAGCTGTATGAGAACGAACCGCGTTCCGGGATAGGACATAGCGAGTAGAGTAACCGTGTAGATTTAGAAAGCAGGCAGCGAGCATAGTCCCAGGATAAGAAGGCGAGTTCGGGCGTCGGGCGGGGAACTGAAATAGCTTCGCTTCTGAGAAGCGAACGCGCGGCCGAGCAGTGTGATGCCATCCACAAGCGCAGGACCGAGAGTCGAATCAGGGGTTGGACATATACAGAACACAAATTTGAACTGAGGAAAGAATGTGTGGGGTAGCCAGAAGCACGGCAAACTGGAGCACGCACTACTCCGGATTCAGAATGAAAGCAAAGATCTTTCACGGATCCAGGGATATGAGTCGCCGTCTGTCCAGCACAACTTGCCACTCCCGTTTTCGCAAAATTCAAATTCCTGCCGTTCTTCGGGGTTGTATCGCTTCGAATCTTCCCAGAAGCAACTCGTGGCTCCACTTGTGAGACATCAAAACGTTATAGAATAGGCCAGTATCCCGAGGACGTCGCTAGCACAAGAAAATCGAGGTTTTGGCCCTTAAGCTTGGGTGCAAGTGTATCCGGCGGAAGTGACGGGAGAATCGGAGCCAAAGAGAGGACAGAACGAAAGACAACAGGGCAGAGTAGATTCACGTAAATTTTGGGGAAAACGGCTGCGGGGGTACAGAGAGCGCGAAAGTCAATATGACGGTTCTTTGCAAACGGCGCCTTCCCGTCTCGCTTCCGAATGGGGCGCGCGGGCCGAGGCTTATCCCGGCCCGTCCCACGTGGCACCTCTTGCGCGCAACTCCGCTCTGCTTCCCACCATAATGCGCTCAACTATTACGGCTTTCCTGCCCTCGTTTCCGCTCATTTCTCTCTCTGGAACTGGTTCAAATCTCCTCCTTGGCTCATATTGTGCTATGACGTTTTGCGCTTCAAGATGTCGTTTTAAAACTTCCCGTCACCCGCTCATTTTTGCCCTCATATGCTCTTGTCTAGGAATTTACGCTAGAGCTTAAACGGCGTCGACTACGTGCGTCTTCCTTCGTTCCCTCTGCTCCCCCCCCATTTCTTTGTCCGAGTCTAACCACTCTATATACAGCCTGAGCGCGCAAACGAAAGCAACGTAAGCCCCTCTCCCGCTGCCGCCGAAAACGATTAAAGCCCCACCCCCGCCGCTCCCGCCACCGAAGACGACGAGCACGAGCACGAAGCACAAGGAGACGACAACGGCGGCGCGGGCAGCGAAGACGCCCCCGCAGACGATGACCGCTTCGCCCGCACCTCCGCCTCCTCCGCCGCCGCCGCCGGCTACCACGACGCACGCGCCCGAGAATACTCTCGTACCTCCACCCGCACCCGCGCCTCACCCAGCAGCACCGACCGATGCAGCCCCCGCACCCCCGCCCCCGATCGCAACGAACGCCCTCTCCCTCGTGCCCCGGCTGCCCAGCGCGACAGCAGCGAACGGCACCGCGGGCGTAGCGAGCGCGGCGCTCCTTTCGCCTTGCCCTTTCCCCACGCCTACACCTGGTGGAGCAGAGAGTTTAGGGAAGGGGAAGAGCAACGGCGCCTCCCGGATGGGGGTTGGGATCGGGAGGGCCGGGGTGCTTGTTTGTGCAATTGTTGTTCGGTTGGTGGTGGTGCTCTGAGGGATTGGGATTCAAAAGACCGCGGGATGTATGCATACTTATGTTCGGCGCGCGCTGTCAACGCCTGGGCTTGTATCGTATTATATTTGTATCAGACGCGCATCCACCTTCGCTGACCCTGCGCTAACCTCATATCCAGAGTCTCGTTTCCTCAGCAAGTAGCATGCGCACCAATGGTGTCCGGGACACCTCGCCTTCGAATATAGTTGCGGCCGTCAGAGTGAGGCGGAGCTGGGGTTCGACTCCCCGCTGGTGCACTACTACCCCTGTCGCTACCTGTTTGTGTTTTCTTGTTCTTGTTGGAATTTTTCTTCGAGTTGAAGTTCCGAATGTTCCGCTCCTTCGTCTCCTGGAATGTAAATTGCAAAAAAAAAATAAGATTAGTGCACATGCAAGCAAGAGCAAGACAAGCTGAGGGATTCGTCAGGTACGGCTATCCTCCTTCTCTTTTCCAGCACCATTGGAATTCAAGCTTTCCTTGTAAATTCGAGGACTCCGTAGTGAGTTTCAGCATATGTGTACGCACCGGTGGTGTCCGGGATACCTCGCCTTCGAATAACACAGTGTTCGACCAGGGAGATTCAGGCGGAGGTGGGGTTCGACTCCCCGCTGGTGCATGCTGCCGGTATCATCACCACCTTTTTTGTGTTTTCTTTTTTGTGTTCTTTTTCATTTTCGAGCTGCACATTACATAGTTCCTTATAGAGATCAAAGCTTACTCGTACCTCGGTTTCAAATGAATGTTTGCACTGATTGGACGCAAAAAACATCGGATACTGGATGCTTTGCTTGCCGTGTATGTACTAAATTCGAGAACTCCATATACTGGTGAGTTTGAATAAGTGCATGCGCACTGGAGTGCATTTGGGAGTTGGAAAATCCGGGGATTTGGGACGATCGCCGGCGTGATCGGCGGCCATATGACGTAGTTAGCCATCAGGCGGAGCTTGATTTAGCGATGTCTCAGGCGGCAGAGACACAAGGCCAAATAATCCCGACGCGCTCCTGTAGTGTCACCTTGGGTAACGAACGACGGCCTCCGGGACCTATGCCTGACGTGAATCCGTACTTTTGCACGCCTTTTATCTGTTTTGAGGCAAGATGTTAAAGTATTCTATGCTAACCAGTGCACATCTTGAAAAGCTCGGGTCCCGCACGCCTCTTCGCTCTTGCGTGTCACACCGGGTGCAGAGGGTCTCGGGCGTGTGGTTTCGCTCTTCCGGTTCGTATATGGGGACGCACAGAGAGCGGCGAGAGCGCCCCGCCGTACCGCAGCGCATTGGTGCGCTCTCGAGCCGGGTGGAGGGCGTGGCACACACGGGCACACCGCGCACCACGGCCCATTCCCGCACATGCCGCGTATTGCGTCTTGGGCGAGCTCTACTGTGCGACTCGGACTTGCGCTAGCCGCGCATGCCGAGGCGGATTCGCATCGGCGGCGCGGGGCGCCGCTTCGAATTCGGCTATATCAAAGGGAAGGGAGAGACATTCCGACGCACAGCGTTGGCTGCCCAGTGATCGGACGACGGAGGAGCCTGAAGGAGCGCGCGCGATTTGGATGCATGTGTTTGCCAGCAGCACTCAGATTAGAAGTCCGACTCTTCAAGCCGAAGCGTGCCGCCGGTATTGATGCCGGACTGATTCCCGGATTTTCCAACTCCCAAATTTTCTGGCGCACTGGTAGTGTCCGGGACACGCCGCCTTCAAATTGTGCTCCTAGAAAAGGTCGGATTTGGCGGAGTCGGGGTTCGACTCCCCACTGGTGCATTTATTTGTGCCAACTAGACCTTTTTTTTCGTCTGCTTCTTCCACGTCTTCGTTTCAAAATGATCTCTGCAGCTAGTACAGCGTCGGGTTTCCCTACCTATCTTTCCCTCCCTTACCTAGTGACTGTAAGTCGAAGTCGCACGTTCGAGTCATTAACCCAGCACCAACTACTAGTTATATGTGGTCCAAGGATACAAGTATCCGCACTAGTGGTGTCCGGGACACGCCGCCTTTGAATTTGGATTTTGACAGTCAAGATTCAGGCGGAGGTCGGGTTCGACTCCCTGCTGGTGTACTACACCACCAGGAACTTTTTTTTGGTTTGTGCGTTTTTTGTCGGCCTCTCCATCGTATCGAATTGATTTTGGCGGTGTGGGCGCACAAAAAGGGCGCGCGCGCGAGACCACGAGATGAGGGATTCTTATAATAATATCCTCCACTCCCAGATGCTTTGGAATTCAAGCTTTCCGTGGCATACAATACTGAGTTTCAGCATACATGTATAGTATTTTTTTGGCCTTCGGCATTTTTCGTCGGCCTCCCCTTCGTCGCTATTGTTTGCGCTGTGGACACACAAAAAAAGGTGCACAGGTGAGACTATGAGGTGAGGGATCCGTCAAGTATACCACTCCTTGACACCTCCGGATGAGCATATAATCCTGAGTCTCAGTCTACGAATGCGCATCAGTAGTGTCTGGGAAACGCCGCCTTCGAATTATACAGGTTCGAAAATTCAGGCAGAGGTTGGGGTTCGACTCCCCGCTGGTGCACTGCTCGACCACAGCAATCTTTTTTTGCATTGTGCGTTTTTCATCGCTCTCTTTCGTCTCGCATGGATGTGTGCACTATGGACGCACCAAAAAGGGCACACGCGCGAGACCAGGAATTCATCTCCTTGACATCTCCAGAATTTGAAGCCCTGAAAATTCACAGCGTTCCGTATAAATTCGAGGAGAAGATATGTATGTATCACTGAGTTCAGCATATCTGTACGCACCAGTAATGTCCGGGACACGCCGCCTTCCAATGTCACCCACGTCGCATGCAGACGGAGTCGGGGTTCGACTCCCCGCTGGTGCATAAATCTGGAAGTCGGTATATTTTTTTGTCTGCTTCTTCTACGTATTCATTTCAAATCTCTGCAGCTATAGTGTCGCCGCTTAACGCGAAGCAGAGTTTCCCTCCTTATCTTTCCTTCGCCTTTCGAAATGATAATATATAGTAGCTCACGCGTCGAAGTCGTAAGTCCGAGTCACTAAACCCAGCAGTAACTACTAATATGTGTTCCAAGGATACAGGCATCTGCACCGGTAGTATCCGGGACACACTGCCTTCCAATTTTTCCAGGGATGAATTCAGGCAGAGTCGGGGTTCGACTTCCCCCTGGTGCATAACATTAGATTAGCCAGTCGTAGTCTCGGACCATACTCTCATGACATCCCAATTTGGGAACCCTGTCATGAGAACTCCCTGCTCTGACAAATTTCGGGCTTCGTCTGAGCACCATCGATGGCAATTAAAAAAATTGAAAGAAGCCAAACTCATTAATTAATACCATTGAGAAAATCTGCCTCCTAGCTTTAGGCACAGACATCCACTAAACAGTCAAACGAGCAGGAAGAAATCAGAAAACTATAGCACAATGGTACGGCTAATTCGGTGGAAGAGGCCCAGACTCTCATGACAGGGTTCCCAAATTGGGATGTCATGAGAGTATGGTCCGAGACTAAGCCAGTCGGCGCATTTTTTTTTGGTCTCGTTCTGCTATATCTTACGTTTCAAATCTCTGGAGCTAGAGCATCGCAGCTCAATGCGAAGTGACTTTCCCTCCTTATCTTTCTCCTCGAAATGGCAATACTGTTACGAGAACTTATGTAATAAGTGATCGTTCTTTTAGGAAACTCATGGGTAGGATTTCGCGGGTGCGTACAATTTGGTCACATCAAGATGAAGTTATTGAAAATAGTGGCTGTGCTTCGAAAACACTACATTGCTTCGCCACCGCCGTTAGATATAATGTGATGTTTTTAAAAATTTCTAATGCTTTTAGTGGCTATGTTTCTTACGTAAAACTTTTTCCTGCTGGCAAAGGTTCGAACCCCGGAGTAAACTTCTTTTTTTTCCCCAGTAAGAACGACCATTCATGTCTCTTTGGCAAGCCTTGGCTCCCTTTGCTTATTTATTTTTTTCAAAAAAAAAAAAAGGATGAATGTATCACCAAGTCATTCACTTGTTCCAGTGGTGGTTATACCTACAGAATCGATCACGTGCTTTTCTGTCCTGCAATACCAGGGCCGAAAGGTGGCAGGGGATACACCAGGAAAGATCTGTCAGCAGCAGGTTCGATGAACCAAATGGGACGAGTCCCATACATTCCGTCCGTCCGCATTTACGGCTTTTGCCAATCCAAGAGGTTTGAATGATTTTAGGGCTATCATGGAGCTAAATTGGTCACAGACATCCTCGCACTGCAGAAAAATCTGTGCCCGAACTCACACGCACCAAAATCAGTCGGATCCAAGTTCCCAAATAAGATCGGAGGTATCGGCGGGTCCGGCAAGCTTCATCGGACTGCGTGGGATCACTGATATGTTGCGGCACTGATACTGACATTGCCCCTTTCTGTTTTTGCGATAGTCGGCAACGTGTTCCGTACAATCCGACTGGTGATCCTCGAGATGCTAATTTGCCAACGCGAATTTTACGTGTAAATGGAGGGTTACAGGGGCTACGTTACGAGTTTCCCCATCACGTCCCAGTACCGTCCGAAACTGTCAAGCCTGGCAATGGTGACATTACGGGGATGTACCCGTTTTCACAGGCTGTCATGTTGAAGAAAAAAAAATACGGGTTGCTTCGATGCCCTAAATAGGTGCACTCAATAATCCCTTATACATCCCCTCTTCATTCCTCGCGCATATTCATTCCCTCCTCATCTCTTTCATGCAGCACATAAACCGTGACTATATGAATCTGGGCGAACCAACTCCCATGCCTGTTCGCCATGGCATCGAGGTTGCTTCGAAGCCTTGTATTAGTCGCCAAGAACCAACGTTGCTGAAATGAACACTGTTTCGATTTCAGAAGAATTTTCCACTTGATACCCGTTCTATACCATCTCATTGTGCATTAATAAACTCAGATATTCTGCCGAGCTTGCGAATGTACGGTCTTTTCCCGGTTCCTCTGGAGTGTGGTCAAGATATGTCAGGGGCACGCATATATTCCTTAGTGGCTCCCGACATAGCCGAATAACATTTCGGTCTAAATTCGGCATCCAAATATTTGATAATCAGAGCAATCCTGAGAAGGGCATACAGTATTCTTCTATACACTTTCTCCGAGGAGGCATATCTTATTTCATGGGATAGAAACGGTTCACCCATAACAATACCCATGAATGACGCCGGGCACAAATTTACAGGGATGAGTAGCCAGAGTTGTAATATGCAATCCATCACCATTGGCCGTGCCGCCTAACCCGGGGAGATGCCCTGAGTTGGATTGTATACAGGTAAACAAGCAACAGGTGCGGCCTTCTACATCAGTAGCCTACGGTGGCTGTAGTTCAAGTCGACTCCTAGCAGATAATTTAGAGACCGGTTGTACCTGTTGGGATTCTGCTCCTTGCTGCACGATGAGAACAAAGAGTCTAGAATACTGTGTCTTACCGGGAGTTTCCTACTGAACAATGAATGCCAGGAGTTTGTAGAATTCAAGTTGACAAACAAATGAATACAATGAGAGGGGATGAGGAGCAGCAGCGCCCCGAATCGAACGATGACCTCAGGGGTGCATTTTGAGTACATCAATTCTACCATATGATTCCCCTGTGTGCGCGCAGATGGCCAGATTTGTCCCCACAGATCAAACTGCATATGGTAATTTGTCCACGTGACCTCCGGTGGCTCCGGCGAACCAAACCAAACTATGAATTAGATACAACAAGCTCTAGAGGCTGAGAGAGAGTTGGAGATCATGAAAGTCTGTTCCAATAAAGGAGCATTTGAATTGGTGGATATCTGCATACATGGGTAATATACAAGGGTATTTACGGTGGGGTGTACTATTATACTAGTGTGTCGGCATCGACGACGCATCTAGACGCGACGTGATGCGCCTCGACGCGTCAAAGACATCGGAAATGACAGAAAAGGGTATAGAAGGGACCCAAAGGGTAGAATTACATGTACTGTGGGGTGGCAGAAGGGTGTAGCTTCCATGCCACCGCCTCAACAAGTCCAGAGTCTTGAGACGCGACGTGATGCGCCTCGACGCGTCAAAGACATCGGAAATGACAGAAAAGGGTATAGAAGGGACCCAAAGGGTAGAATTACATGTACTGTGGGGTGGCAGAAGGGTATAGCTTCCATGCCACCGCCTCAACAAGTCCAGAGTCTTGAGTGCCAGTGCCGACAGAAACAGGGATCCAAGGTCCAGAGCACCAGGGGTTAAAATCAGAGGGTGAATATGGTCTCTTCTGGGGAGTTTAGATGAAGAACTGCGCTGCATAGTGGTGATGCAGAGGAAAGAGGTGTTGAGCAAGGGACAAACAACTTTCGACAACCTCCGGAGCTCCGGAGGTCACGTTTTGATGTTACCATATACGGAATGATGTGTGGGGACCAATCTCAAAAGCTTGTGCGCGGTTACACCGTACTGCCGTTTGTAATCCCATCTGAGGATCGTAAACTGGTTCAAGCGAAAGTGTCGGGGTTCAGGCAGTATTTCAATGCGAGTTACGTGGCCGGAGAGAGTAGAAGGCACTGGAACCTGATACAGTTTGATAAACAAAAAGGCATTCCCTAACATCCCGAGGTTACCAAAGGGATGGAAAGAAACGCGGACCCTCGTGGAGGAATGAATACCTTATTCCCGCTATTACTATAGTGGGTTTTTATGGTGTTTTCAAAAAACATGGTTCTGGCGCATTTCTGTATGTGCGCTTGTTTGGTGTCGGGAGTTCCCGTCGGCAATACCCGTTAACTCGATCTGAAAAG